TTTTATTGACAAACTACCCCCATCAACCAAAGGGTATGACTCCATTATGGTGGTAGTAGATAGATTGACCAAATATGCACATTTCATACCCCTGAAACACCCTTACACTGCTAAGACCATAGCCGAAGTCTTTTTCAAGGAAATATTCAAGTTACATGGTAATCCAGAATCCATCATCAGTGATAGAGACAGCATCTTCACCAGCCATTTCTGGACTGCCCTTTTCCAGGCTATGGGAGTCAAATTATGTCTCAGCACTGCTTACCATCCCCAAAGTGATGGACAGACTGAAAGAGTTAACCAATGCCTAGAAACCTACCTGAGATGTTTTTGCAGTAACAAACTAAGCAGTTGGGTAAGCTGGCTTACCATGGCAGAGTGGTGGTTCAACACTTCATTTCACTCTAGCACTCAGATGACCCCTTTTGAGGCTCTGTATGGATCAAAACCAGTAACTATCCCTCTTGGACCATATGAAAGCATTATCATCCCTGCGGCTGTGGATGTTTTGGAGCATAAGACTCAAGTGCTCAAGGTACTGAAAGACAACTTAGAGAGAGCACAACATCGTATGAAGTTCTATGCTGATGCAAAAAGAACTGAAAGAACATTGCAAATAGAAGAGTGGGGTGTATGTGAAACTGCAACCTTACAGACAGAATTCATTAGCCATGAAAGTCACCTTGAAACTCTCACACAGGTACTATGGTCCTTTTAAGGTGCTGGAGAAGATTGGGAACGTTGCATATAAGCTACAGTTACCCCTTCATTCTAAGGTGCATCCTGTATTTCACGTATCCCTTCTCAAAAAGCATGCTGGACCAACTCCAGTGGCAGCTACTGAGCTACCAGATTTTGGGAATGAAGAGGAAATGAGATTGGTTCCTGAGAAGATACTACAAAGAAGATTCATCAAAAGAGGAGATCAAAGTGTGGTGCAATGGTTGATTAAGTGGAAGAACATGAGTTTGGAAGATTCATCATGGGAAGACAGTATTTTCATTAGCAAGCAATTCCCAGAATTTAAGACTTGAGGACAAGTCTGTTTTTTAGACCGGGGCAGTTGTCATGCCATCCGGGTCGGAGACGGGGGTCGGTAAATTCAATTGGGAAATTTAGGGATTTGACCATTGGACCGAACGCTGCCGTTTCAATTAATTGAAGCAGAAGCTTCCTTTTGCACGTCGGGGTGATCACGCAGGAAGACAAAAATGCAGCAGTTTCCTTGTTATTTCCTTTCATTCCAGCTGTCTTTAGTTAAATTAACTTTCCATTTTCTTTTGTTTAAGCTGCCGATCAGCTTCTAGAAGATTAGGGCTAATATATAAGTTAATGATGTAAGGAATTGGGAATTATCATGAAATTTGGAAATCCTAAACCCTATTTCTTCCTAAACTAATTGTCTTTCTCTTTTCTTTTACCCTCTGGATTCTCCCCTGCTCCTTCCTTCTTTTCGTCCCGCTCTGAAATCTGAACTCTCTCTCTCTGTGTATCACGTGGTTGTGTTCCTTCCGTTTATGTGCAAGAATTTAAATTTTCAAAAGGAAAAGCAAGTCACTTCATGACAGAGAGGTAGTCTAATTTAACCCGTCCGGTATCCAAAATTTGGATAAAAAATACCCACACAGTACATTTTTTACACTTCGTCAAATCCTTCTCTTAAACCTTTCTCATTTCTCACAAAATTTCCCCCAATTTGGATACCGTTCAGCTCTCTTTCAGTTTCAGGAACATTTGTGGATGGAGTTAGAAGGTGGTTTTCTAGGAAAGGCTCTTCTTATCATTCTTCTTCCTCCTCAGTGACCATCTCTACTAGTGGTCAAACCAGAAACCCTGCTTTCACTTCAAAAAAACAGAGAAAAAAAGAAAGAACCAATAATTCAAGTTCTTCAGCTTCTGATCGACGTATTGTTCAATTTGCGGGTTGAGTTATCTAAAATAGCAACTGGGTTTCCCCTAGAATTTCAAGCTTTCAAGTGGGTAAAGAGGGTTATCGAGGAAGACTTTGATTTTTCTGGGCTTAAGGCTATTAAGGTTCCCAAGTGTGGTAATTTCCCTTTTGGGTCTTCTCCCTCCTTGACGGTTTTAATTTGACATGATCTGTATATTGTTGTATTTTGGTGCTGGATTATTGACGGTTTCTGTTGATAGGCTCAGCTGTTGCCAATCTCTTTCATGATTTTGTTAACCTGGTGCATAATTTTTAATGGGTTGCATTGATTCTCTGTTGTGCATTTACGCGGTTTTTAATTTTTAATGTGTAATTTTTGACTAGGCACAATACGCATAGATTGGTTTTTGTTTTGATTAACATGTTTGGAGCTGAAGTGTACTGATAGCTTTCGAAGTTGAATTTATCAAATTCCGTTATCAATCCAGTTTAATATGGTTTTGTGATTCTTGATAATGCCAGTTTTTTTATTCTGTTAGTTTTAGATGAATATCAGTCCAGGTGATGCATGTTGTTTACTGTTAGTTTATGTGATCACTTCTGATGGAATGGTTATTCATGTATTTTTGGATGGTGATTTATTGAATGAATGTATGTGAGAGGCCAATATCATTAACTTGTTCTCAATCTTTCTCTCCCTGTGCATATTCAATGTATTACAGCAACAACTAAAATCTCCTTGTTTTCACCATGATTTGCATTAAGAGGATGATCAGATTTGTGTGGGATGTCTGATTTTCTTTGCACAATTTGGCATTCCTTTTCTGGCCGAAAATTTAGATCTTATTGAAACAATGTCATGCTGCTTGATACCTACTCATTCATTATACTTTTTTTGGCTACTTGCATTTCTGCATAATTTTGTTTACATTGTCTGCTGCTCCTGCTTATGCCATTCCTGCTAATCGGCTGCAAAAGAAGTGGTTTTCATTTCCCAAATTGAGCATATAAGTTTGTTCTCTCCCTTATGCTGGTTGCTAATCGGCTGCAAATTCAATTGTAGTATCTGTTTGATCTTTTTTCATTTTGTAAGGGTCATTTCTTTTTGTAAACGTTTGTAGTGAAACCAAGTAATTTCACTTATGTCTCTATATGTGTATTCTACATTAATTATATGTTCCTGTTTAGTGTTTTGCATGTTTTTTGAGGATATGTTGTCTTGCCCTTTTCAGTGTTTTAAAAAAAGGCAGCTATGATGGAAGAGGACATAAATTTGGATGAAGAGATGGGCGATGAAGTTTCTAGTAATTCAAGTTAAAAAGCCGAACTTCAGAAGTTTGGAAGGTGTTTGATCAATTATCGCCTACACTTTTTCAGGATTTGCTTCGATTCCTCTTTTCGACACTAGATATCCCAGAAACTTTCCTGAACCTACTCCAAAGATACATTTTTAGGATTCAACCGAATTCGTACTCTTCGGAGGGTGACTAAAGTTTCATGAAGGTTTTGTGGCATTTCATGTGCAGTGAGACTTTTAACCACCATGTCATCAAAGTACTCCTCCATCTTCTGCCCCAACTAGCTTCTGAAGACTTGATTTACCACCTTCTGATAAGTTGCGCCAGTATTTTTTAGTCCGAATGGCATGCTTTGATATCCAAATACTCCTAATTCAGTGATGAATGCAGTCTTGTCAGCATCTTCTAGATCCATCCAGATCTGATGATAAACCTTGTATGCATCTAAAAAGATCAAAGCCTCATATCCAGCTATTGCTTCCACTTTTTTATCTATGATTGGCAAAGGAAAACAATCTTTTGGATAATATTTGTTCAAATCTGTGTAATCAACACACATTCGAGATCCTCTTCCAGGTTTGCCCACTACCACTAGATTAGACAACCAAGTTGGGTACTGTACTTCCTTGACTATTGTAGCCTTCAATAAGTCTGATACCTCTGCATTGATAACTTGGTTGCGTTCAGGAGCAAACTTGCGTCTCCTTTGTTGGACTGGTTTGACCCTTGGATCCATATTTAGCTTATGCATAGTTAATTCCGGACATAATCCAGGCATGTCTTCTGGTCCCCATGCAAAAACTCCATTATATTTCTGGAGTAACTGAATCAATTCAGCTTTTACTTCAGAGAGCAACATTTTCCCAACCTTGAACTTGCGATCTGGATTTTCATTATCTATTGCAATCTCTTCTACCTCATTAGAGATTTCAAAATGATCAGAGGATCGAATTGCTTTGTCGAGAGGCTTTGTTGCAGTGATGTAATTAACTTCCTTTATCTTATTCATCCCTTGCTTGACAGCAATCATCATGCATTCGCGAGCCACCATTTGGTTTCCTTTGACTGGAGCAATTCCATTATCAATTGGAAGTTTCATTAACAAAGGATAGGGAGACCATACCGCCTTCATCAAATTCATCCAAGGTCTTCCCAAGATGACATTAAAGGGTGAAGGAGCATTAACAACGGCGAAGTTGCATATCACAGTTTTGTCCAAAGATGATTGCCCTACTGTAACAGCTAAGGATATGATACCCACCAGTACAATAACGTGATTTGCAAAACCAACTAATGGAGTCCGAGTTGGTTTGAGAGCTTCAAAATCAATCCCCAATTTACGGAAGCAGTCTATGTACATTACTTTTGCTGCACTTCCAGGATCAACATAGATGCGATGGACTTCCTTGTTGGCAATAATTCTTTGAATTACTAAGGCATCTGATTGAGGAAACATGTGAGGAACGCCTTCATGCTCTGTAAATGTAGCATGAATGACTCCTGTTACTGTACGGTTTTCTTGTTGTCTGGTTCCAACATTGGGAGATGATTGGTCAGCTCGCCTCTGGTCTTTCCAATTTGGTGAAGGCCGCCAGTTAGAGGTCCTGTTCCCTTTGTAAAAGCCTGTTATTCCTAACTCCACCAATTTGAATGTATTGCCTTAACTTTCCTTGTTGAATTGAACTTTCAATTTCTCTTTTCAGATCATTGTAATTTTCAGTATCATGACCATGATCGTTATAATATGCGCACCATAGATGTTTGGGCCATTGATGTGTAGGGCTGATCATAGGCGGAGGTGGCTTAAAAACTTATTTGTGTATAGCCAAAATCTCAGTTCGAGACTTATTCAAAGGGGTCCATCGGGCATTTCTTTCATCACTTTTGCCCTTCAAGACTTTTCCAGGCTTGAACATTGCCTTTGATTTATGCTCATCTGCTTGTCTTTTGTCTTTCTCGGCTTCCAATTTTTTCCATGCTGATTCTTCTCTTTTGGTCCATCTCTCTACAATTTTCATCAAGTCCTGGACCATTTTCGGAGGGTGACGAGCCAATTTGGTGTAGAGAGCTCCAGTATGCTAGCCATTTATAAAAGCAAATATGATCAATTCCTCATTTGTAGTTTCTACTTGCAAACTTTCATTATTGAATCGCGTTACATAGGCTTGGAGCGTTTCATCTCTTCCTTGATTTGTGTTCAGCAGCTCTTGAATGGTCTTGGTAAATTGCTTCCTTTGTTGAAATTTAGTCTCAAACAAAGTTGTCAATTGCTTCAAAGATCCGACACTACCTTCCGATACTGACTTGGTCCACCAAAGACGAGCCTTTCTTCGTAAATACGTTCGGAAAGCCTTGCACATGAGCTCTTTTGGGGCATTTTTCAACTCCACTTGGGTCCGAAAGATAGATACATGATCGCATGGATCTGAATCTCCATCATAGAAAGATAACCCAGAAGGCATCTTGAAATCAGGAGGGTAGGGAAAATCCCTGATTTTTGGAATGAAGATTGACGACATGTCATCTTCATCATCATCGTCACTGTTATCTTCTTTCAACCGCAGTAGTGTTTCTTGCTCTTGCACTTGAGGATTTGCTCTTTTCCTATTGCGAACATGGCGCTGTTGGGCATCAGCCTTGTGCGAAGTTCGATCAGTATCGCCTTTATGGTTTGAAGCATTTTCCAAAGGCGCTTTCCCTTTAGCAACATACTTCCTATACTGATCAAAGGTGTTGCGAGTAGCATTAACATATTGTATCATCTCTGTCATGCTAGCATCATTCCAAGTGTTGTCTTGAGTTTCTTCATCAAAAGAATGTTCTTGGAGTTCGAATAAAAGCTCTTTATCTACACGAGGATTCGCTTCCGGACCTTTGATCAAAGACAAATTATTCTCTGCGCCTTTTTTAGGGGGAGGGTTATTTTCATTGATCGGCGGTACTCTAGAGGTTTGAGACCTGGTAACCATCATTGCCATCAAGGGTTGTCAAAAGCTTAACCAAAGATTCAAGGAAAAACTCAAAAAATGAGGTTTCCCACAGATGGCGCCACTTGATGGAGCAAGCTTCTAACGACTCGCAATGGTGATTGGATAGCCTTGAGAACCCCTTGATCTTCAAACCTACAAAGCCTCGGCTACCCAGGATAAACACTCCGATGTTTAAATTAGTCCCTTATTATTAAATAATCTCATATTTATAGTGAAGAATAGACAACTAACCAGAGAGAAATAAGTATATAATCGTATCTCAACTCTTGGAGTGAATCAAGGAAACGCGCCCAAAATCAGAGATGAAATCTGATCCCTAGTGACGTGGCTAAGGTAATATCTGATACTCAATGATCTTTAACCATCTCAGTTGACTCGGGTAAATAGATTCTACTAAGCAGGCTTTATAAAATTATTTGGGTTTTTATTCATCTAAACTTGAAAGACAATTATTCTAGGCTTTGTCATATCATGCCCAAATAGCATGGCCAACCTCATCTCAAATACTCGGGGTCTTCTTTTTCCCGTGTATGGTTGAAACTCAATTCTTAATCTGAAAGTGGTATGTTTAGATGTATGGTTTGCCATGATTGATGATTGAGGAGCTTCCATAGATTAGGTAGACCTATTGAATCACTTTTCGAACGCTGTACCTAATTGAAACAAACAGACAGCTTAAAAAGAGACACATAGCTATTAGAATGTTTCTGTAGAGTACCAGATTCTTATATTTGTATTTATTCGATCAGGTGAATGAAAATTGTGTCACTTTATCTCAGAATCCACTAAAAATTTCTTTTGGTTAAACTAATGTTTCTTTGGGTTACTTTTCCCACTGTCCCAAAAAAAAATAAATAAATAAAACTGATGTTTTAATGTTTTCTTATTATGTGTAACTGAAACAGAGAGCAAGAGGAATAAGACATTAACTGCTTCCGTCTTATTGTATGAAGTAGAGTAGTGGTAGGCAGGTAGCTAAACATAGCACTGAATTTGGTAGCGTTTTATAGGCATGCTTAAACTGGAAAAAAAACTAGGTAGGCAGGGGAACTTTTTACCTCAGTTTCTGTGTATTATTGTGTCAACCGGGGAGCAAATTTTAGCCAAAATGGTAAAGACATCAACCACCTACGAATTCAATTTCCGTCCATTGCAAATTTGCAATAACGGGATTAAAGACTTAAATAGATAGTGGAGACATCAATATTTGTTTAAATTAATCATTTCACTGATAAAATACAATAAAAATACGGAAAGTAAGAAACTTAGATATTAGAAACATTAATATTTCTTCAAGTTAATCGCTTCACTGTTAAAATACAATTAGAACACGAAAAGTAAAAGACATGACGTTTTTGGTTCTACGCGGCGGAAGAAAGACAAAACTCTACCGATTGTTGACATCATTTGAATTAGTTCAAACTCAATCACATTGTAAAAAGGATTGCAAATATCTAACTAAATACGACACACTAGTTAGTCATAAGAAGTGGTGGAAATCTAGTAACAATTATCAAAGGGTATGATTTTATTCCATCCAAATTGTTTCTCTCTTTCTACAAGATGACACTTTTGAGTCTATGTTTGCAAAACTTTAGATATACATAAAATCAATTGGGGGGGGAGAAGGGATAACCAAAGTACCAAACCAAATTGAGAAAATCTACTATGGAACACATTCTATGACATGAATCAAAACCCAAGGCCTATTGGTTTTTCCTTCAAATTGAAAGCAAATCTAAGTTGAATGCAGGTTGATGAGCAGCTGGAGTCGAGGATCCCGAAGGATTGCTCGATGTATTTGCTTCCGGGAAGGAATCAAATGTTTCCCAATTCGTTGTGATCACAACACGCCCTGAACTCGAACCCGAACCAGTACCGGAACCAGGGCTGCCCATTGCTGGTTGCAGCAGTTGTTCAAGTGGCTGCTGTGTGATCCCAATCGAATGTTTTCCTTCCTGTGGCTTTACCGGAGATGACCTGCTCACGATGGAAAGCCGTGATGGCGGTATCGATTGTTTCTGTGACGAATTCGGTACTACATTAAACGGATTCCTATCTGATTGCTGCTGTTTTCCGACAGGGGATTGTACAATATGTTCATTTGACAACTTCTTGTTATCTTCCTTCAGCTTGGTCGGCGATCCATTGGCATTGCCATTTGCGATCGAGTTTTTGATCTTCAACATATCCAGAGTCTCAACACAATTCTGTACTCTCGTAACCTTCAAAATTTGCACAATTTTTACGTCAATTCCATGGACCAAAAAAAAGTAACCATTTCATCAGCAGCTATTAATTAAACACAAAACTTAAGAAGTAAAAAATAATGAATGTGGTACCTGTACTTTTCCTTGCATTTGGACTTTTGAATCCACTTCCTTAAGAATTGTATCTAACTTAACTAGTTGATCCATCAACAACTCAATCAGATTCACCACATAATTCTCTGTAACTTTCCCACCTTTTGAAATAACAGATTCAAGCGCCGCCACCTATTCCATTTCAACAATTCAATCACCATTAATACATTATCTAACACCGGAATTACCAGAAAAAGAGAATGTGAATTGGTAAAAAAAAATTTCACCTGGCCGGCCAACTTGTCGACTTCTAAACTGATATCTGATATGGTTTTTGTAGCCTTTTCCAATTTAGCAGCCCTTTTCATTTCAAGGTACCTCTTTTCTTGGCTAATTGAATCCTTAATTAGCACAATTTTGGACTTGTTCTTCACACCAGTTGTATCAAGAAACACCTTAGAATCCCTCTCCTTATCCTTGTAAAACAGCTTCTGATCCTCATGGTGTAATCCTGTCGGCCCTGTCAGCATTTTCTTCAACTCCCCTGTTTTTTCACAGAAAAGGCAAAAAACAAAAAAAAAAAAATAAATAAAATTTCCTTTGTTTTTGCCAAAAATGAAAGAACCCATGACAGAAATACAAGAATTATAAACAATTATTTCGGTATCGGAACTTGGAAAGTCGTTAGTGAAAGACATCATACCAAAGCTGGCTTGAGAGCTGAGGGTGACTTCATGATAAACAGAGCCGTACTTGACCCGAACCCGGATTGTCGGGGGAGGAGGACGGCGGTTTTGATCCGAATCACTCCGCGTTTGAACTAGCATCCCACACGGCCTCATTTCCCAGTTCCCATCTCCACTTCCTCCGCCGCCGCCGCCGCCGCCGCCGCCGGCAACATCACCACCACCGACACTGGTTTTGCTTTTTGTCGGCAGCGGCAGCCTGGGGCCGCCCGCTGGCGTTTTAGTTCTCATTCTCATCATTATTGATAGTTGGGTCGGTTCCCAACTCAATATAATTAACAAAAAAGCAAAGGAATTTGGGATATAAATTTTCCGGTACTAAGAAAGCATGAATTTTGGCCCCCGGAAAAAATTGCCGGCGACCCAGAAGAAATGGATTTTATGGGAAAGACATAGAATTACTAGAAATGGGAAGCCGCTAAATAATTTTCATGGGGAATCAAAAATGAAAAATCAATGTCTTTATAATGTACGGAAAGAGGGAGAGAGAGAGAGAGAGAGAGAGAGAGGAAAGATATGGAAGACGAGACGGGGGACTCTGGTTGTTGAACTAAAAAATGTTTTTGTGTGCGTTTGGTCTGTCCACTGTGTGTGTACGTGTTTTAACATTTTGAAGGAGTGGTTGACACTTGACACTGTAAAAAAAAAAAGGACTGATTGAAATCACTGAAATCATGGAGAGTAAGGAATAATCATACGTACACGAGGTATTTACAATTCAGCGAAGAGAATTAGTCATTGTTGTCGAGGTGAACATCTTACAAATATTAAAAAAAAAAAAAACTCTTTTAAAACCAAATTTAAAATGTTATAATTACTTTCCATCCTAAAAATAAAGATAACTAGAAAATAATTTTTTCAACAGAAAAAATACGTAAATGGTGCTCTTTGAGATTCTTAACAATTGACATGGGGTTGCAAGTGGCCGCCCATGATGCTAATATCAACTATGTGGCAACACTACTTCCAGCGTTATATATATCATATATATTAACTCAGTTAAGACGGAAACGGTCAAGTAGAAAATCTACAATATTAACTTTTCTTTTTTTTTTTTGGGGGTACAACTACAATATTAACTTTAACAAACGTATAATGAACATTATAGTAGCTATCAAAGCTTCACCCTAGTAAAGGAATTGAATTCTTGCGAGCAAGGATTTATTATAAACGTTTAATCTTTGGATCCTTTGATTATTTTCTATTTCTTCTATCCTAAAATAATTATCTAGTCTTAGTTTTTAATTTTAGTACTTTCTCTATCCCAAAATTATTCCAGTTTGTGATTTCAATTTTCGTACAATGTGAACTAAAAATAAAAACCCAAACTGAACAATAATTATGGGACGGAGGGAGTATAATTTGTAATGAAACTGAAAAGTTAAAGTGAACAATCATTTTCAAACGGAAAGAGTATAAATTAATAATTTGCGTTATCTTACTTGTCCAAGAATGTAAAGAACTGATTAAATTAACAAGAAAATGCCAAAAGTACTCTCGTTATCTTGAAATTATTAATACTGACAAATTGAATAATCATTTTCTGAGACAAAAAAGGATTAATCATTAACCTTCTTCTTCCAACTTGATCACTTTCTTTTACTTCCCCGTGTGACTTTATTTGTTTTACTGCACCTCCTCATTTAATTTTAGATGAAGTGATAAGATGAGCGTTGCGTGATAAATTTTTAGTCTTTGTTGTCATTTATTTCTCTCAACCAAATGCAGTTTAGGACTTAGCAATAAGTAGCAATTTGTGTCGTTTACTGTATTCTTTTTGTTACTATCAAATTGATGATCACCGTTTGCTTTGGCTGAGATTTCAGAATACCAATTTTGACAATCTCTCATGAAGTTCATCGGCTTCGGTTCATCCTTAGCTAGTTTAGCTCTGTATGTTCCACTCGTCCTTTTGTCTTCACTAGCTAACTTAGCGGTAGGAAATTTGTGGAAGCTAAAAGAAGGCTTCAGAACATTAATCTTTACAGGGATATAAAATATATATTTCCTCTCTTCTAGAAAAATAGTTCATATTAAAATTTTAAATTTATACTGTTTTTAATATAAATCTCAACACTCAATGTGAACTATTTTTTGGGCAGAAAGAGTATATAATTATATCAAAACTACTCTCTCCAATGTCCCAAATCCATTGCAATATTAGTTGGACAGAAAGAATATCAAATCTCAGGAGAGATATTTAATTGTATATATTATAAGATTATTATTGAATCATTAGAGTTATGTAAAACGTCATATCCATCACTATAAGAATTTGTTACAATCACTAACTACGTATAAATTTCAATCATTATAGGAAGTTAAATTACCTAATTAGGTATTAAAGGTAAAACACAAGCAGAAGAAGATTATACATACAAAGTATAGTGTGAGTAACTGAGTTGTTGTATGCTCGCTAGTCAAGAAATACTTTCTTTTGAAACTGTATGTAATTTGGTCTATAAATGCAATTACTTTTCAAATGAAGATGAAAACCTTGTTGTAAACTTGTAATATAGGATTTAAAATAAATAAATAAATAAACCTATTCATTGAAGGACATTATGTATATTTTTTTTCCCTTTTTATTTTTTGATAGGTAACTCACTTCATTTAGTTATTTCTCCTTTTGTTGATTTTTTTTTAGTTGAAGGCTTTTTATTATATATTTTTGGTTGGCGGAAATCAGTGAGGTTCTGAATATTTTTACCAAATGACACTAACGTCTTTGCCTTCTTTTATTTTTCTTGATTATCCTGGAAAGGAGAATTCAGAAATGTAAAATGATATATGGGGTCTTTTTGGAATTATAATAATAAAAAGAGGGGGAAAAGAAAAGAAGAAAAACCATGGGCTGGCAATGAATATCCTCCTCCTCCGGAAGAGTAAACAAAAATAAGGAAAGTAACCAAAGTGGTTATGGCGGAGTGGAAGGGACCCCTCTATCCTTAGAGATAAGTCAAGGGTTCGAACATCGTCATGGACATAGAGTAACTTTAAATACTTTGGTTAAATGTCCCACTCATCGAGGTACCTATAATTTAGCCAAGAGACTGTTGCTGACGGTGTACTATACCCTGCAAATTTGCCCAAAAAGAAAATATCAGGAAAGTCAAAGCCATAACAGAAAAATATAATTAGAAAATTAAAAAACCCAATGTTGCTTACGCCAACATTGCTTTACCAACCAAACAAAGCAGGACTGCTGACGCCATAATTCCTTATAAATTACACGTGGATTCCATCCGCGTCACCAAAGCCCAAATTTCAAAAATCCACCCCCATCATCTGTATTCTGTACTCTTTTTAGCAATTTAGTTTTTTAATGTATTTTTCTAAATAGATGCCAAAAATTGTCACCGACAGTCTTGGCGACGCGCGAGAGAGAGGGACGAACCAACACGCATTTTGTATTTTTGATAAGTCAATTTTCGTGGAAGATTGTGGATCATTTGATCATTCATTTTTTCTCCTAATATGACACTTTGGTAGTTTGGTGTTATGTTTTAGTGACTAAATCCGTATTTAAATGATTGACATGTGTCAATTATCATTATAAGGAATATTAATACCCTAAGGTCCCTAACCAACCTTAAGTTTCGTGGATTTAAGTAATTTTGCAAGGATTAATCATTTACTACTCCCTCCATTTCAAATATATGTCTTTCTAGTAATTTTATCAATACAAAAAAGACATCAAATATTGTGTTTAAAATATAAAATTAATATTATCCTTATTTATTATCCATACAACTCATCAACAACCAACAAAATCTCATTTTAAATACTATTTCATTTCCAATCCAAGGACAATAGTGGAAAAATAGTACTCCCTCTGTCCTAAAATTATTGTCCAGTTTGAGATTTCACTTTTAGTACGATTTGAACTAAAAATGAAAACTCAATCTGAATAGTAATTATAAGACGGAGGGAGTATAAAAGTTTTCTCAATTTTGTAAAATAACATACTCCCTCCGTCCCATAATTATTGTCCACTTTGTCCAAAAAATTTTGTCCCAAAATTATTGTCCAATTTGACTTTTTATGGATCAAGTTACACATTTGTCCTTAGTAAAAAACATTATCCATAAAATCTTAGTGGTTAAACAATTACTTATGTAGGGGTATATCCAGTTGTTCAAGGTAAAATATAGTTAAGTTTGACTAAAAATAAAATTTTTCATTTTAGTAAAATTGGACAATAATTATGAGACGGAGGGAGTATATTTTGAAATGGAGGGAGTAGTACTGTTTTCTTTTTTTTTCTCATTTACTAGTACTATTACATAGAGCACAACACTGTAAGATTTTTTTGTCTTAATAATGTTCCTGGAGGTAAAAAAATTGTTACTATCTCGATTATTCGTTCTAAAATTTGTACGGAGTTTGACATCTCTGGTTAGTACATGACGGATAGTTATAGTTTAACCGTAAATTGTGGTTTTTTTTATGTACTTTTTTTTTTCTAATAATCTCTTTGCTCAGGAAAAAAACGCTACAATACTGTTCTAATATATATATATATATATATATATATATACTAGTGATGTCTGGTCGTGCAATGCGCGACCCTGACCCAATATATCTGTAGATCTTAGAAATGTTTGTATCTAAAAAAAAAATATTTTGTATTTGGCAAGATATATTTTAGAAATGTTTGAAGAATTAAGAAATTTTTTATAAGTGTGATCATAGAAATGTTTGTATTTGGTATAAAAAAAATATATTTGGCCCGGTACGTTTTAGAAATGTTTGAAGATTTTAGAAATGTTTTATAAGTGTTACTTCTTAAATATAAATAAACTTGATCAAATATATGTTTTGAAATAAATGCTAGACAAAATATAAAAGCATCCTAATAAGTTTAAATATTAGTAAGATGATTTATTGATGTTCTCTATTGGTTGTGCCATATCAATACTTAGTTTTGGTGATTTATAATAGCTTTGTAGTAAGCTTCCTCCAAAGAATATACGCTTAATTGTTAGAATTATTTCTTTCAAAAGTTTGTAGGTAGTAAAATATCAAAAATATGATTTTGAAACTGGTTAATTGTTGAAACTGGTTGATCACAAATATGATAATAAAAATAATGTAAATTTGCATAGGTTTCAAAGTATAACAAAAAAGAACTCACCTCACTATGGCAAATAAAGAAAGAAAGAAAGTAAAAGATAGCCCATTAAAAATTGCGAAATTTATTTTTTCTGTAGGTAAAAATGATGCATAAAACACAAATAAACGTAGAAACATCATTCCTTCACTCTCCACCGCAATTTCATAAAAGGCTTCCCCATAAATTAGTTAGAAGAAGCAGCCTGAACTATTTATATGATGAGGAACTAAAAAAAAGTCCACAAACCAAATCCAAAAAAGTATATTATTAAAAGCCCGAACACAAAATAAAAATAACGCGCTTCGTTTGCAAATAAAATAAAATAATAATAATAATAATAATTGGTCAACTGAGAGTATGAAACAAAATCAAAAGCAATTAAACAAAGAAGGAACATATTTCATAACTGACCATATACGAAAAAAATAATTGAGACTCCATAATTAAAAAAACAAAATCACTCTAATTGAATGAAACATAAAAAAAAAATTTTAAAAATCACACTTTGTAACAAAAACCCAATTAATCAATTCAATCCAAACAGAACTAAAATCATACAAAAATTCTAGGCTAACTAACCATATGAGAAATCACATCATATTGCCTGGCAACGGCTACGATAGCTGTAATGGATGGACGCGTAAAAATAATAGTAATAACACTATTGTTGAACGAGAAAAACAAAAAAATAATAAAAGCCAAACAAATAATCTGTGGGAATAAAATCATTTAAATTTTAATACCTGTAATGGCACCACCACAGCCGAAGCAAGATCAATGAGAATTTTTTTTTTCTTTGTGTTTATATGGAGAGGCAAAGAGAATATTTTTTTAAGTCAAAATTTTATCCGATTAGGATGTAGTTGATCATCACTATTGAAAAAATTGAACATGCTAATAGGAAAGGAGTATATTTCACCACATATTCTCAATTGATAATTGATGAGGAATTTGTTTGTTTTTTTTATTGTGAAGAAGGGATTGATTAGGAAGTCAATTGTCGTGGAGATGTGGATGGGGATTTGGATTTTTTATGAACCCGTGATTTTTTATTTTTTTATTTTGGTTTTGGCCAAAATAGGAGGTAGAGGTGGATTTCGACTGCATTTGCATTTTAAGTCTAGGAGATGTGTAAATAAAAATTTATTTTAAAAATATGATGTGGAAATGCCACATGGCAAATGGTGGTGCTTTCTCTTAAGTGTGGTTTTTGTTTCTAATATAGTAAGATATACACACATATATATATATATATATAATCATCATTTATGAAAACAAATAATCAATTATTTTTTTTGCAAGTTGGTAGTTTAATTCAATTACTCATTTGGGCAAATTTTATAATTTTGAACCAAAAAACTAAAGTGAGACGTCCAAATTATGCTGTTGCAAAACGCTGTCTGATGGAGACTGTACAACCCACTGATTTGGTATGTCGACTGTTTCCTTATCATTATTGATGATTATTAACAAAACGATTTGATAAATAATAATTTGATTAGTTGAATATCCAGAAAACTACAAAGATATGACATTTTCTTGGACTTTTTAACAACTTCAACTCTATTTTTATTGGCCGTGTATGCCGACGATTTTGGCCATTTTTCTTTATTTTTCACTTCGTTATAGTTTCTTTTTATTATCAATTATCAGGTTAATTAATTGACGATGTTACGGGATTTGATTTGATCTTGTAATTAGTTAGTCTGATTTGATTTGATTTGAGTTGCACACCCAAATTTATTTAATTGTCTTTATTGTTATCATTATTAGTATTGACAGATTTGAGTAGCAAATGGCTGATTCATGTTAGATACTTACATTTGTGATAATTAACAAAAGAAAAAAAAATCGAGTTAGATAGTTAACTATTCGGCACACTAGCTGGATTTTAGATGGTCGAAATAAGAATCTAGGCGGAGAGCAACACATAACAAGAATTAAAATTAACATTTTTTTTAAAAAAAAAATTGTGTTTTTCTTAATCAATAAACTAATTTATGTTTATGTTAAAAAACTAGCTATGTGAAGTATTGAGTCTATATGCACATAGAAAAGTGTACTCTCTTTCTGTGTCAAAACAATTACTACTCCCTCCATTTCAAAATATAAGTCTTTTTAGTCTCTACACATAACTAAGAAGACAATCATTTAATGATTAATTTGTGTGTTAAATAATCATTTAATTGTCTTTATTGTTATCATTATTAGTATTGACAATCATTTTGCCATTCAATAATTATTTTGTTACTATAACCAAAACTAGATGAAAAGTGGTTATCATCATTTATTGAGGGAAAAGTTGGGAAGTCAATCTTTAATTTGCATTGAAATCCTAAAACGACTTACATTTTGAAATATTTCTCCAAACCTAAAACGACCTACATTTTGAAATGGAGAGAGTATTTAACATTATCCATCGATCTGATTAATCAATTGTTTTAGAAATAAAGAAAGTACCATGCCCAATGCTGAAAAACACATGTTTAAGCACCCTATGATCCTAGTTCTTGGCATTTCTAAACACATATTTAAACACATATTTAGACTAAATTAGTGTGCCGACAGTTTGAATTGAATACTTAGACATTTTATTAAACAAATCAAGGTTACGTTTGACTGTGGTGCTTCCAAAAAGTTGGGGGAGAAGGTAAAAGCAAACAAACATTAAAAATAAAAATTAAAATAAACACCCTTTGACCGTGGTGGTTAATTGAACTTTCGTTTTTACTTAAGTTTTACCTCAGTTTTGATGCAATAGTTTGATTTAATACTTATCTATTTAAATAATTTTTTCACACCAAAATTTGCATTCAAATTTATAAAAGATTTTTTTGGTATAATGAAAGAAAAAATTTGTATATAAAGAGTTTCCAGAACAAAATAACCTTAGTACAACAGGACGAACCTTATCAAACATGGTAAAAAATATTCAGAATCTTAAAAGAAAAAAAAAATAAAAAAAATAAAAAAATCACGAGTTAAATACAATTATTTCATTGACGTCCTTACACCAGACCAACAGATATGGACTAATATGACTCGAAAATGATTTCACTGGAGAACGCATGAAATTAATTTTTTTTGTATGGTTATGATAATTAATTTAAACAGTTCAAAAAAATTATGATTTAAATTAAGACTAAGATCGATGCATGCATGCGTGCTGTAGTGTCACCGTATCTATCAGCTGATGCAATCATGATTTTCAATGATTTACTAATCTGATTTATTTTGTCATCATATTAACTATTCTATTTCGTTAATTAAGACACGTCCATTTCTTAATTTAGCATATCCCCCAATAATGACATGGACAAACTGTGTGGCAGTCTGGCAAAGAAATAAGTCAAAGGTTTATTTAATCACGCATTGAATTAAAATCGAAACAATTATTTATAATCCAAAGACGAAATTGTTTAATCAAAAAATTAAATTATCGAATAAAAAATTTAATCTATAAAAAAAACTAATCTTTCTATCTTAAAATTATTGTTTAACTTAAATTTTTATTGTTATTTTAATTAATACTAAAACTAAAAATTTAAATTAAACAATAATTTCGAAGCGTGAAATAAGTATAACAATTGAATCACTGATTAAAAACCAATTTGGTTGGGACGATGAAATTTCTGACAAATGGGCTTAAAATGTGACTAGAAGTTTCAATGGTCCAAAACGTAGGAGCTAGTTAACTAGCTCTAAAGCGTGGTCCTTTGCTTTTAATAGAGGAATAAGCAATTCATTTGGTCTTCTTTTCTTATTCCATTATGACATTGTGTTGATATGATTCATTATTCTTGTTTTTTTTTTTTGTTAATAAAGAAGAATTAGTTTCTTTTTCTTTTGTTTCAAGATAGAAACAATTATTACTAATTTGTTAGAAATTCGTTCAGCAGGTAAATTCACGATTCGTCCTTTCTCTTTTTCTGTTTTTTTTTTTTTAAATTGAATTCGACATATTCTCCAAAGGGTGCCTTAGTGTTTGGAAGATGAGACTCCAAGTCCGATAAGATCATTTCCTCCGATTCTAGGCAATTAATCACCACCGTTAATTCTCAATTGATGTGAAATTGATAGAGCTAATTGATTTAAACCCTTCTTTTGCCGCCAAGCGATTCTATAGCCGGTGGGGAATATAGTACTCCAGCAAACCTCTTAGCCAATAGAAGTAGAAATGATATCCTATATAGTTGTCCTTTTATTTTTTTTTTCCCCTTCTTGTGTAATCAAAGAACACAATATTCACAAAATAAATCAATTGAGTCAACTTTAGATATTTGTTAGAGTTGACATATTAGTACTTTTTCCGTCAAGAAATTATTTTCTAGTTTGAATCTTCATTTTTTATTTAAATAGTATTAAAAGTAAAATATCAACTGGATAGTTTTGAGACAGAGGGAGTAAAAGTAATCTAACATGATTATGAAGAGACTTTTGTTCCTATCAATCGAATTACATCCAAATGGGCTCATTGTTAAGACTCATCAATAGTATTAACTCATTGTTAAGACTTTCGTTCCATGAGAAAATGTATTGACAACTTCCCGACGTCTCAAATAAATTTTCGTACCCAATGCTAGATGCTTGCTTAGCAGCTTAAATCCAATCATCCAAATAAGTTGATCTAGTCTTCTTTTGCTACAAGCCTAGAAAGGCATGCCCCACCTTCCTGAATATTATTATTCTCATTTATCTAAATGGCAATCCAAGAAAAATCTATGGAAACTTTAATTTATCTTGTTGAATTAAGGACTAAATTGCACCCAAGATATAAATTCAAGGGCAAGAAACGTAATTTACCTTAAATTTTCATTCAAAAACGAAAAACCTTATCCTAGCAGATAACATGTACACAAAACTTATCCTTCAACTTGCTAGCTATTAACCTTCTTCTTCTTGCATTGTAAACTAATCATCTGAGCTGTTTTCAGTCATCAATGGCAGCTTTGAGCTGCCGAGTTCATCCCATTGGCTACACTAAAAGCCCTCCAAATGTCGAAAGAAGTGCGCTGAGGTCTCGCATTTCTTGCACGATGCAGCCAGGACAAAGCAATATTAAGGTACGAGGTTCAATTCATCAATCAATGATTTCATGTTTCAATATTCTTTAAAATCAGGGAAGGAAAAAAGAATTAAGAGATGTTTTTTAATTGTTGGGAAAGAGGTAATCATTAATGGGGCAGCAAAAGAAATAGGAAGGGCAGCTGTAGTTGCTGTTACAAGAGCTAGAGGGATGGAAGTGGCTGGTGCTGTGGATTCCTATCTTGTTGGTGAAGACATTGGAAAGGTGATTATTCATTGTTTTCTCGAACTCCGTTTCCCCTGCTTTATTAATTAGTAGTTGCGTCTCTACAAGTACAACATACGATAAATTTTATCGAATTCTTAATTTATTATTGACTAGGGTGTTTTAACATATTTCGCGCATGCATTCTTGAATGTATTGTAATAAAGTCGGATAAAATACACAAATGTAAGGAACAAATTAACATTAAATTTTATTTAAATTTATACTTTATGACTAGAATTCTTTAATAAGTTTTTAAAAATTTTTTCCCTTCTAATCTTAGGAAAAAGTTAAGATGTGTAAATAATCAAAAGGTAAAGATAAACTAATGGAGTTAGAATTAATATAATCTACGTATATAACATGGTTATCACATGTCAGCCTATAAATAATGAATTAGAAAGCATAATAAAGTGAATTTATAGAAACTTGGCGGGAAACACACGGTTTCTGCTTAACTAAAAATCTCATGATAAGAACTGAACATGTTTGAGATGATACGAGGAACTCAACACCTACACCTTCAAATCAAAATCTGCATCAAGTTTGAATATTTTCAATTATAAGAAATATGAACATTATTAAAGACAAATTATCCTTAAACAAATAGAATTTGGTAATCCGCCACATCAAAAAAAAATCAGAAACCCACAAATCCAAGCAAAATGAAAGAGGAGTGGACGATTAATATAAGTTTTGCTTATAATGATATAGTTCGTTTTAAATATAAGCCTCATGAGGGACAATCAACACACTTTTTTATTCGAGAACTCCAATAATACATGCCCATCTATCCACAACACTTGCACCTCAAGAATCATCTCTGAAAGTATGCTCATAAGTCATCACCAGGTTGCCTTGGAACAAGTGAGGGCATTTTTTGCTCCTCATAATTTCAAGGTGTTTCTTTACCAGAAAATGTGAAAGTATAAACTAAACTGATAATATGTCTTTATCTCTCAAAATTGGACAAGTTGAAAAACCATAATTCTCTAAAAAAAAAGAGGGGGAGGAGGGGGGGGAGGGAGGGATGCAGATGACAAGATGCTTCTGCATGCAACAAAGGGAAAAAAACAAGGTTAGGAAAATTACTTTTCAAATTTGATAGGAACTTAATCCAGAGGAGAAATGCAAATGAATAATTATGTTTTACAGTATCCTATTAGCATATTATTAGCATGAATGTTATGGGAAGCCAAGGGGGGTAACTATAGGGAGATGGGTAGTCATCAAGAAATAATGGGAGAAATGAAAGGGTCTTAAATAAATTAAGAATTAGTTACAACTTATTGTGATAGTAATTTTTTCAAAAAAAATTAATGTGGTTGTAAAAATATTAAAGATATATTAATAAATATTAGGTAAGTGGCACATGTGGAGGACTACCAAAACTTAAGAGATATTCTCCAATTATATTATAGGTAGATTATTAAATTACGCTATTATATTTATGATAAAAGGAGTACTGCATTTCTGTAACTAGTGATATTTGTATTCGTTACATTGCATAGTTAACAAATTATCGCGCTTACTGATATTTATGGGAACTCATTTGTCTTGTGTACAAAACTTGTATCAATTGTAATTAGATTTTAAAGAAAGGAGTTTCCAATTGCTTAATTATTGATGGGAAAAAATGACACTAAGCTAAAATGACACTATTGAGTTGTTCTGATTGTGATCATTCCTCATTGTCTGTTTGTAAAGGTAAGCGATATGGAAGAGGCTCTGGAAATACCCATAATGAATGATCTCATCATGGTCTTGGGATCCATATCTCAGGTATACTCTAAAGCCCAATGTGAGCCCCTGATGCAATGAAATTTCATTAAAGAGGCCTAACATTTGTTTATATTTAGGCCATTTCAATACAATTTTGAATTTTCCTTAATCTAGCTACCTGCCAACTTTTTTTGTTTTCATTTTCTTTTCTCTGAAAATGATTTTTCCGTTTTTGCTTTGCTTTAATTCAAACCTATTATACTTTTTGTAGTCGAAGGAAACAAAAGTTGTTGTTGATTTCTCAGACCCTGAAGCAGTATATGAGAACGTTAAACAGGTAAATAAATTTCATTTTGACTATTTAGATCATTGTATAAATTACTGTCTAGAAAATACTCCATATTGAGTTTTTAAATTTGTACTGTTCTTAATACAAATATCAAAACTCAATGTAGATTATTTTTTTGGGACAGAGTACTTCTTTAGTACCGACGAAAGGGAGTAATAGTCTATAGTATTCGAAAAAGAAACTAATTAACAAATCATTTTGTAACCTTTTCTTTTTCTTTTCCAACATATTATTAAAATGAACAGGCAACAGCCTTTGGGATGAATAGTGTGGTGTACGTACCTCGGATCAGACAGGAAACTGTCCTGGCATTATCAAAATTTTGCGAGAAAGCCAGCATGGTGAGCTCAGGGTGAGATTTATGAACACAAAATTTTTCCAAATTATAAGTAACCACAAAGTTGTAATTTTTTTTTTTTTTGGTGAAGTTATTAATATTATTAAGCTTTTGATGATTTGGAATGCTACGTCCATTTCTTAGGGTTGTTTGGTGGCTCCTACTTTATCCATAGGATCAATACTCTTACAACAAGCAGCAATTTCAGCTTCTTTCCATTACAAAAATGTTGAGATTGTCGAATCCAGGCCAAATGTTACTGTAAGTTTATCCCGAGTTTTGAAAAACATAGTATCCCCTATCCAATGAAATGAGATAGGAAAAAAAACCCAACTTTATTTACATCGTAAAAGATAAAATATAAGCAATGGTATTTCTATATTTTTATGCTCTCCTTCCATGCCATTATAATAATAGTCAGTTCGTTGTATTATTTTATTCCATTGAAAATAAACTATTAAAATGAGACAGAAGGAACATGTCACGTTCATAACTATTTTATTTCACCAGATAGTATATTTTATTGTTTTCATCATAGAAACTAATGTATAAAATACTAATGGATAAACTAGTTAAATATTCATTTCATTTCAAGATGATTGTCTATTTATTGTATTATAAATTTCGAGATAAAAGAATTATTAGTTTTCATTTACATATGCTGATTAATTTAGTTGTAGCCCAATGTTGATCCATACATACAGGATAAATCAGTTGCACTAAGTTGGTTGTCCAATAAATCAAATAGGGTTTAGTTTTTTAAGGCATTTCTTTATTTAAAACGGAAAGTATTAAAAATATTTTAGAAATCGAAACAGATGTTTCAAAACATGCATATCATGAATTATTGATTTGTTATTATTATTATTTTTTTTTTTTGACGTATCATGAATTATTGATTTGTTGTATTGGGTGGACAGGATTTTCCAACACCAGATGCAAAACAAATTGCAAACAACATTTCCAATCTAGGTCAGTTGTACAATAGAGAAGATTTATCAACCGATGTCAAGGTGTGTTACAAATCAAACTAATTTGTACTCGTTTAATCTTGAAAAAAGAGTATTGGTTATCGAAAATAAAATAATATAACAAACAAAACTCTTATTCGAAGATGGAGCGAGTAAATTCCAATTTTATCAAGCAAATATTTTGGATGCAAATGTGATTGAGTCTAGGATCACTCTTTTCCTGCTAGGCCAGAGGTGAGGTTCTTGGAGAAGATGGAGTACGAGTGCACAGCATGATAATGCCAGGACTACCATCTAGTACAGCAGTGTATTTTTCCAGGCCTGGAGAGGTTTGCAAAAGGAGCCCTTTATTTTTACATCGACTTGAAATTATACCCTGTTGATTCTTAGTTAAAAATTAAACTCACAAACATTTCATATATGTCCGCAAATTTCAGGTTTTTACCGTGAAACATGATATCACCGATGTGCAGTCTCTAATGCCTGGCCTGATTCTTGCAATCAGGAAAGTTGTGCGCTTAAAGGTACCAAAATAAATAATAAATAAATAAATTTGGCTTGCAATTTATTATCTTAAAGTTCATGATAAGTAAGCCATTGAAAAAGAAAGTGGGATGAAAAGAGTACCTCCAATTAATGAAAATCATTATGATATGTTTTTTTTAATTATTATTATTTTTTACTCTCTTGCACAGAATCTAGTTTATGGGTTGGAAAAGCTTTTATGAAAGCCTACTATATGATGGATGCTGCTCAAGTTCATGTCCAGAACCATATGATGAACGTGCATGGGACAAACGAGTAGAAATTCATAAAGCTCAACAAGGCAATGCTCTCCTTTTAGGTCTTTCTTTTTTAACCTTTAACTTTTTTTAATAATATTTTTTTTTTCAAATAGAGCCCTACCACTACTCATGTAATAATGGATATGTTTACTTTTAAGCAAGCATAACATGAATTTAAGCTATTATAATTGACACGATGAAAGCTTGATTTTAGAATAGTTAAAAATGTTTCACCATTCAGTTAGTTTATCTAATTGTCGCCATACAGATAGCCGACTTAGATGCTTTTCCTTGATTTACACTCTGCTTCATCTTAACAATCGATTTTGTTGTAGTTTTAGTTTAAATACAATCAATTATTAAAAACTAACGGAGGGAAACATTTCTTCTTTTTTTTTTTTTTCCCTTTATCATGATCATAAAACTGTATATGATTTGTATGAATGACTGAAGTCAGGTATAACAAAATCAGCTCGCAACCACAAAATCTGTGAATTTCTTGCCAAACTTAATTGTTTAAATTACTATTGTACAAACCAAAAAAATATACAACCATTTGATAGTTGACTCATCTCTCACTATCTGTTGTTGCGAATTTGATTGAGTTTATTCCAAGCAAGGCTTCATTCTCTGGTGAATCAATAACATCCAAAGCTTGAGATATAAACTCCTGAGTTGTGATTCTAAGAGCTTCAAGTTCCCTTGCCACATCTTTCATATAAGGCCTATCTTCTCCTTTGACACTGACACATTTTTCAGCCACTATAGCAACTTCTTTTAGTAGCTCAACATTTTCACTGTTGTTCACGTTACCATCAAAAACTCTACCCAACTCGCCACTCTTTACAGAAGAAAGGAAATAATTTGGTAAGAATTTCTCAGTTTCCGGCCCATCCGATGCCAACACTTTCCTTCCTGTCAAAATCTCTACCAGGACGATCCCAAAACTGTAAACATCGCTCTTCTCAGTTAACAATCCTGTTTGTAGGTACTCAGGGTCTAAATACCCGTGTGTCCCCTGCACCATCGTCGAAACTTGACTATCTCCCATCGGAAGCAATCTTGATATCCCAAAATCGGCTACTTTTGCTGTGTAATTCTGATCCAATAGGATATTGGCTGACTTTATGTCTCTGTGGATAATAGGAGGTGAAGCAACAGAGTGCAAATATGAGAGCACCCCGGCAACTTCTGTCGCGATTCTCAGACGAATATCCCAAGAAAGTTTCGAGGCTTTGATTTTATCACTTAAATGCTCAGAAAGTGTTCCATTGTCTATGAACTCATATACCAGCAATGGCACTTCGGTTTCCAGACAACAACCTAGTAATTTTACCACATTTCTATTGTTGATTTGGGAGAGAATAATCACCTCATTAATGAATAGCTCAACCTGGCGTTCATCCACTCCCCTGGATTTCTTAATAGCCACCTTCTTGTTGCCCGTCAATTCTCCCTTGAAAACTATCCCAAATCCTCCTCGGCCGATGATATTGCTTTCGTTAAAATCATTAGTTGCCTTCTGTAATTCCTTCACTGTGAAAATTCGGGTTGCATTGTTGTTGTTGTTGTTGCTGAAACCACTTTTCCCGGCTAGCAGCCTTTCCTGTAGAATTAGTCCACCATTCTTTTCAAAGAACTCTTCCCTGAGTTTTTTTTCCTTTCTTTTCATCAATTTGTAGTACAATAAGAAGGAGAACAACAACAAAGTTGCGCTGCCTGAGCTTACTCCGATCACTGCACCAAGAAGAATCATGAACGGAATCGTAAGAATGGACTTTTATGAATAGAAACATGACATGAAAACAGGGGATTTTTTTTTTCTTTTTTCTTTTTGGAACCTGGCCATTGATTTCTCCTAGCAGTGCATCCTTCATCTTTTCTCCCATCACCATGGTACCCATGATCACACTGGCAAGTGTAATTTCCGGCAGTGTTCCGACAAGAACTGTGTTTCTGGCAGTTGTGAAGTGATGGTTTTTCACATTCATTAATATCTGCAAAAGTTAATTGGAAATCAAAACAACAATCCATTAACTTCTTAAAGTTGTTGATAATTTCAACATCAAACTTGTAAATAATAAAGCAGATTAAGCTTAATTACCTCGACAACCATTAACAGAAAGATACGGGTTCCCCTCAAAACCGTCCTTACACCGGCATCGATAACCTATATCTCCTTTCTGGTCTTCACAAACACTATAAGCCGACTTGCAAGCGTAAGAACTCGTGTTCTGCTTCGCTTCTTCGCATTTCACGCCTTCTGCTACGACCCAATCCACAAGAACAGGCACACTCGAACTCTTGTCTATATTGGTGAGATTATCAGCTGAGAAGTTAAATCTCGCTTCTTCAACCACAAAAGAGTAACTGCAAGGATTGAAGTTGGCGATTCGGGTGTGGTTTCTTAAGGTCTCCAGCGTGATATTGATCTTCCAAGCACCATTAGGTATGGATGTTTGGCAACATCCAATACCCGAACAAGAATCTCCAATCACATCTTCCTCACTGTAACACAGAGATTTACATCCGGTGGTGTAATTATGTGCTTTACTCTCACCTTCAACCGTGGCTGAGAAATCACAACCGATTGCCGTGAACTTATTCGCCGAACTATTGAAGAAAAAGTTCTCTGAAACTATCATATTTGGGCTGGAGTATTCATTGAATGTAGCATTGTTTGGATCATAACAATCATATCCCACATCGAAGAAAACACGGAAGTGACCATCCAACGTTATGTTCATGACGTCGAGATTTCCGTCACCCAGAAAAGGCTTTGTTGGGTGGCTGACACCATCGGTAGAGTTCCGGCATTGGATCATGAATTTCTCGTTGAGGTAGCAATCTTTTCTCGTGCCAAATGGAAATGGAAGGCTTACATTCCCACAATAGGCCTGGTCTTCGCAGCCGGATTTTACTATTGGAAATGTTGAAGAATCACAGGAAAAGATCATCAAGAAGATAGTCATGAACAGGGTTGATGTCAAAATGGAAGTATCCATTTTTCTGGACTGAATGTTTGGAATGTTCTGAATCAATTTTATGGTCTCTGTCTGTGCTTTAATAGTTCTGTTGCCTGTTTTCTGGTTAGGCCAGTTAACTTTGGCTAATTAATCACCTAAATTAATCCAATTAGTGCTTTAGGGGGCCTCAATATGTATTGAATTCATCATGCAAAGCACATTTTGTTGAAATGATTAAAATGGTGCTTAACTTTTTCAGCCACTATGAATAAGAAAATGACAAGAAGGGCAACTTACCAAAAAGGAGATCTTTTACTAGCTGGCTAGTTCAAGCTTCTTCGAAATGGTGAGGAAAAATCAATATCAAATGGAGGATATGCTAAACAAGCTGGGGTTTAGTTTGGATCCAAATTTGTTGGCAACACATGACACTTTAATTAATATTCAGAATAAAAAAGTAAATACCATCTTTTTCTTTTCTTTTCTTTTTTTTTTTCCGTCTTTGCATTATAAAAACACACATACAGAGACTTTGCTTTGCTTTATAAAAACACATGATGAACCGCACTCGCTGCGTAAGAACTAGTTTTATATAATGCTCTCTTTTTTCCTACTTATGTTAATACCATCTTCATTCTCTCGCGACATGGTTTTTGTTTTTTGAAAAAGATTTCAAGGATATGTATAGTTTTTGGGACAAAGAAGAAAGTATAATTCTAATGTCATATTAGTACATTACCCAAATGTTTCTGGTGAGAATAAGAATGTGTCTTAAAATATAGTAGGGTTGGTTGGAACAAAAAATAAACAATGGAAGTGGCAAAAGAATAAATCCTAGTCAAATTTGGAAAAATCGAAAAATTCTACCCTGATCTGCGTCGACATACACGATTGGCCGACCAAATATTCGATGATAGTCGTCGTCTTTTGCGTCGATTTTTTTTTCCAGATCAAGAAATCGACGTAATATTGTCGACTTCATTGTTGATTTGAGTTTTGATTGACGAGAAACTTAAATCCCTTTGCCGACTTCTCTTTAATTTGACATGTCCAACTGTTGGGTTTCTCCCCAAATTTTCAAGTCCATAATGGTGAATATTAGGCCAATTAGTATTCAATAAGGTGTAGGGTTTGTGTTAGAGTTCTAGTATAAATAAATGTGCTTTGTACTAGAATCATTTGGGAGGAAAGTAATATGTAACTACTTGAGAGAGAGAGTTTGAGTGAGGGGAGGAGAAATAAAATTGAGTTGAGTTGAGAGTACTCTTCTAATTTCTACTCGTAGATGGTGCCTTTTCTTCTCAGAGTACATAGTGGGGTGAGTACGGGAATTACTTTGTGAAAGTGTAAAGAGTAGAATCGAGTTAGAGAGACAGTTGTGTATTGAACGAGACTCTAGAGTTTGTATACTCTTTTATTCTTATATTAGTGGATGTGTTACCAATTTGTAGACGTAGATCTATGAGAGATCGAACCACGCTATTAGTGTTGTGTTTCTTATAGTGTTTTACTGGGTTATTTACTTTTGATCCGCTGTATGTGTTTATTGAATAAGTAAACTTATAATAATTGTGTTTAGAGGGGATTAAAATCCCTGACACCAACTTAGATCAGACTGTTTCATGTTCAAACAACATTTGGTTCAATCTTCTATCATCCTCGAATTGAGTACGTACATAGAAACCGATCCATAATGGAGAATATCAAGCCTTGTAAACAAATCACCATCATTGGGATGACCCCAAATGACCCATTTATAATCAGACGTTCGCATCACTCACAGGTTTTTCATTTTCATTTTTTTTTGAAAGGGTACTCTCGGATTATATCATGGACTAACCATGATTTTACACAAAATGAGCATTGCATCCCAACCATTTCTTCATCACCGCACGTTCCAGGGATTTTGGCGAGGTTAGCTCTTTCATTTCATAGTTGAATCAGTTGATCTATATGATGAAAAAGGTGGAGAAAAAAATTGCCAATGGATTCTGATTTCTATACTTGTTCGCGTCCCAAGATAGTCTACCTCCTTCACGATTAGAATTTGCCCATTTCGTATTGCTGGCTGTCAAATTTTTCTGGCGAATTGTTTTGAGTTCATGAATCACCCAGACGGCTATTGTCGTCTCTCAATAAGTGTTATTGGAACGAATTATCTTCTTAGAGTAGTTATTTAACAATTTTTTTTTCTAGGCATTTCAAACGTATGCATAACCTGGTGGATCATGAGAAGTATTTTACTCATTATATTAAGGGATACTCAACTATTCAGACTTTATAACATACTCTTTCTGTTCTAAAAAAATATAATGTTCATTTTATATTATATATCTTAGTTTAATAAAATAAATATTTTATATTTTTCTGGCCGTGGAGTAATAATTATTATCATAGGTCAGAGCAAATGTGCTCATTCCTTATCACACTAGCATGAATCGATGGATTAAAAATGTTTCCCAATGGACATATTTATTTTTTGTTTTGTTACTTTGGCCATAAGTTTGTAGCAATATTAAGTCTTTTGACCACATGTTGAATAGACTCTTCACTGCATATACCAAAAAGAAGTGTCCTTTTAAAGTCAGTGATTTTTCATGGAGCTTACATATTCTAGTTTTTATAGCGCATTTTTAAGGACAAAGGAAAATACGATGATTGCATGTCTAAGTTTGAACTTTTCATTTGGAGACAACTCTGTTCGTCAGTGTCAAATTATAATTTGGATGGATAGGAGATAGTATTTGAAAAGAGTTGTGATACCATATCAGTGTCATTAAAATTTAAACAGTCCACTTAAGTTTTTGGTTATGAACCATAAAAATAAAATACTTGTATAAGATATGAACGGAAATTATCTAAATTTATTGCTATTGTATCTTTATTTTTATTTATGCACGCATTTTTCTTGTGCTAGTAGTAGTCAATATGTGAAGAAAATAAAACTAAAAATAAGTGAAGAAAATATTTTTAAGCCTGAGGATATTAATCTACACTCCTACTATTAATGCATTAGAAATGATGTGTTTCTATGTTAAATACGTAAGTGGGCATATTAGTTTGGACAGAGTGATTAATTCAAACACCAATTCGTTTAATATATCAAAAGAAAATGCCCACCACGTCACAAGCTGCTTTTGTAAAATCTAGCACCATACCCGTCTGGTCCTGGACTTTTGTTGATATCCATCTCCCAAATGGCTTTTTTAATTTCCTCCTTTCCAGCAGGTTTGATCAATCTAACTTGCTGCTCCACACTCAGTTTCGGTCCAGCTTCAAAGATGGAAAAATCAGCTGATTTTCTGCTGGTAGACTGTCCAAGTAGCTGCTGGTAATGATCCAGAAAGTGTTTCTCGACCTCCTTCCAATCCATAATTACTCTCCCATTTTCCTCCATCACATTCCAAATGCGATTTCGCATCGTCCTTACTTTTAGCATTGAATGGAAGTATTTATTGTTCTCGTCACCCTCCGCAATCCACTGCTCTTTTGGTTTTTGTTGAAGATAACTATTAGCAGCATTATTGGCCTCAACAAACCTACTGAAATCTTCTCGTTCCTCTGCATGTAATACCACATTACCAGTATCAGAACTTAACTCCTTCTGACTTGCCAGGAGTTGGCTCTGTTGGGCCCGGTATTTCCCTTAATTGGGTCAACAAGGAAACAAATAAAACCAAGCCAATTTTGGCTTTGGTTTTAGGAAACAAAACCTACTCCAATTGGGTTTTTGTTTTTAGGTTTTTTTGCTCTATAAAAGCAAGGCTTTGCCATAATTTTTAGGGGTGTATTTTTCAGCCAAGAGAGAAGAAAAATTTGGGCAGCCGTGCATTGTTTTGTACGAGAGAAAAAGAAAGAAAGCTAGGGTTTAGTTTTCGGTTTAGCTCTCTTTTGGTTAGATCCTTCCAGTCCTACTTTGTGATATGTGTGTGTGGAAGAGTATTGTTGTAATCCACCTTTGGGTGAAGTCCTGTGTATCCACCAGTCGGTGAAGACTGTTTTCCCATTATTGTGATAGTGGAGATTTGACTGTTGTTACAGTCTCGTGGTTTTTCCCGATTTGGGTATCCACGTAAATTTGTGTGCCTCCTTTATTTTATCAGTTCTTGAGTTAGTTGCTTGTTTGGGTGGTTGTCCTATTTTATTGGTAGTAGGAAAAGAGTTTTTCCTTGGGGCTCGCTTCCGCAGTGTGTTGTGCTTATACCCTTTCCGCCACATCAGTGGCCTCAGAGCTACGGTTCGGTAATTGAGGTGTTACACCAATAAAATGGAAGAGTCATCGAGTACTGGTACGATGATTAAATTGACTTCATCTAATTATCATATGTGGAAGCCTAGAATGGAAGACTTGTTGTATTGCAAAGATTTGTTTGATCCTGTTCTAGGGGATGAAGGTTGGCCAAGTGATATGACTGATAAAAAGTGGGCTGATATGCACAGGAAGACTGTTGGTAATATACGACAGTGGATTGATCAAAGTGTGTTTCATCACTTTTCGGGAGAAACAAAAGCTGATGAACTTTGGAAGAAAATCCAGAATATGTACTGGAAGAAGTCCGGCATCAATAAGTCATCTGCGCTGAAACAGATTACCAGGTTGAGGTACAAAGATGGTGCTAGCATGAATGAGCACTTGAGTTCGTTTCAGGGTTTGTTGAACCAAGCTGTGAATGTAGGTTTAAAGTTGGATGATGAGGTGCAGGCTTTGTTATTGTTTAGTTCTCTTCCAGACAGTTGGGACACTTTGGTAGTGTCAATCAGTAATTTAACTCAGGATGGTGTCTTGACCTTGGATCAGGTCAAAGAGGCTTTGATGAATGAAGAAGTCAGAAGAAAAGAGCAGAGTATTGAGTCTGAGTCACAGGCTTTGGTGACAGAAAAGTCAGATAGAAGAGGGAGAAGTAAAAGTAGAGGGCCACGTGATCGGAATGACAAGTCCAGGGGACGGTCTAAATCCAAGAAAGATGTCGTGTGCTACCATTGTCAAGGGAATGGACACTTTAAGAGGGAGTGCAGGGTTCTCAAGAGAGAACTAGCAGCGAGAAAAGGTAAAGGCAAGAAGGATAAATCAAGTGATGATGACACTACTGCAGTAGTAACTACCAGTGATGTATTTGTGTACTGTGATGATGATACAATTAATGTTGCGAGTCACGACAGTGATTGGTTCGGTGATTCAGGTGCGTCTTATCATGTGACGCCTCACAGACACTTGTTTACCTCTTACATACCTGGAGATTTTGGTCGTGTAAGAATGGGCAACCAAGCCTCATACGATGTTGTCGGCATGGGAGAGGTATCATTGGTAACGAATACAGGTTGTACTCTTGTCTTGAAGAATGTCAGACATGTTCCGGATATGCGTCTGAACCTAATTTCCGTTGGTAAACTTGATGATGAGGGTTATCATAGCACTGAAGGTGGTGGTCGTTGGACAATTACCAAAGGGAATCTTGTTATTGCTAGAGGAAAAAAGTTGAACTCTTTGTATGTGTTGAATGCAAAGTTGAAGAATGGAGAGGTGAATGCAACTCACAATGCCTCCATTAATCTACGCACGAAGGCTTGGACACATGATGTTAAGGGGTTGCGATTCTTGGTAAGAAGCAATTTCTCCCAGGAGGTGAAAGGTACTGCTCTAGAACCTTGTATTGACTGTATCTATGGTAAACAACATAGGGTTTCCTTTCAAAATTCTCCTCCATCTAGAAAGTCCAGTGCTCTAGAGTTGGTTCATACAGATGTATGTTACATGAAAGATAGGTCGTTGGGTGGAGCATTGTACTTTGTTACTTTCATTGATGACTATGCTCGAAAGGTTTGGTGTTTTAAAGACCAGGTATTAGACGTGTTCAAAGACTTTCACCTTAGAGTTGAAAGAGAGACTGGCAAGAAGTTGAAGTGTGTTCGAGCAGATAATGGTGGTGAGTACAAGGGGTCCGTTTGAGAAGTATTGCCGAGACCATGGCATTAAACTTCAGAAGAGTGTTCCGAAGACTCCGCAGCAGAATGACGTGGCAGAAAGAATGAACAGAACTATTACCGAAAAGGTTAGGTGTATGCTCTCGAATGCAAAGCTACCTAAATCTTTTTGGGGTGAAGCCATGCAAACAGCAGTTGATTTGATCAACCTATCTCCCTCAGTTCCATTGGATGGTGATCTACCACAACGAGTTTGGACAGGGAAAGATGTCTCATTTAGGCATTTGTGAGTTTTTGGTTGTCGTGCCTTTGTTCATATTCCTAAAGATGAAAGGTCAAAGCTTGATGGCAAATCCAAGCAGTGTGTATTCTTGGGGTATGGAAATGATGATTTTGGGTATAGACTTTGGGATCCTGTAGAAAAGAAAGTTTTCAGAAGCAGAGATGTGATTTTCTTTGAAGACCAGACCATTGATGATATGGGACAAGGCAAGATGCCAGAATCTTCACCTGAGATTCCTGTTGATTTAGATCCAGTTCCTCCACAATCAGATGATTCTCCTGAAGGGGGAGCTGAGACAGAGCAGGATGGTGAGTTTGATGATGATCCCGCTCATCAAACAGAGACACCACCGGTTTCATCACCTCTGTTCAGCCTAGGAGGTCCACCGAGAGACAAGAGACCTTCCACCGGTACGGTGCTCATGAGTATTTGTTGCTTACTGATGGGGGAGAGCCAGAGTCGTATGAAGAGGTTCTTAGTCATGAGCAGAAAGATCAGTGGTTAGCAGCCATGCAAGATGAGATCAAATCCTTGCATGAGAATAACACGTATGACCTGGTGAAGCTGCCTAAGGGCAAGAGAGCACTCAAGAATAAATGGGTGTTTAGACTAAAAACAAGTGAGAACAGCTCACAACCGAGGTACAAAGCCAGATTGGTTGTGAAGGGATTCAATAAGAGAAAGGGCGTAGACTTTGATGAGATATTCTCTTCTGTTGTAAAAATGTCTTCAATCCGAGTTGTGCTTGGGATAGCGGCCAGCTTGAATCTTGAGATTGAATAGCTTGATGTGAAGACAGCCTTCCTGCATGGTGATTTGGAAGAAGAGATTTACATGGAGCAACTAGATGGGTTTCAAGAAAAGGGGAAAGAGAAGCTTGTATGTCGTCTCAACAAAAGCTTGTATGGGTTGAAGCAAGCTCCGAGGCAATGGTACAAGAAGTTTGATGCCTTTATGGTAGGGCAGGGATACCAAAGGACTACAGCTGATCATTGTGTGTTTGTGAAGAAATTCTCTGATGGTGATTTTATAATTCTTTTGCTTTATGTCGATGACATGTTGATTGTTGATCATGATATTGCAAAGATTGCCAGGTTGAAAAAGGAGTTGAATAAATCCTTTGCGATGAAGGATTTGGGTCCGATTAGACAGATCCTTGGGATGAAGATTTCTCGTGACAGACAAAATGGGAAGCTTTGGGTATCTCAAGAGAAGTATATCGAGAAGGTTCATGATAGATTTAACATGAGCGGTACTAAGGAAGTCTCGACTCCACTTGTAGGGCATTTTAAGCTAAGCAAAACGCAGTGTCCTAAAAGTGAAAAAGATAAGGAAGAGATGAAAAAGGTTCCTTATGCTTCGGCAGTTGGCAGCCTAATGTATGCGATGGTTTGCACAAGGCCAGACATAGCTCATGCAGTTGGGGTTGTTAGTCGGTTTCTCTCCAATCCTGGTAAGGAGCATTGGAATGCTGTGAAATGGATTCTCAGGTATCTTAGGGGTACTTCAGATTGAGTCTTTGCTTTGGCAATGGAAAGACCATGTTGGATGGATATACAGATGCTGACATGGCGGGTGACCTTGATGGTCGGAAGTCTACTTCTGGATACTTGATGACTTATGGAGGGGGAGCGGTTTCATTGCATAGTAGATTGCAGAAATGTGTTGCTTTGTCTACTACAGAGGCAGAGTTTATCCCAGCTACTGAATCTTGTAAGGAAGCACTTTGGTTGCAGAAGTTTCTACAAGAGCTTGGCATGAAGCAAGAGAAGTATGCGGTGTATTGTGATAGCCAGAGCGCTATTCACTTAGCGAAAAATTCCACATTTCATTCGCGGTCAAAACATATTGATGTGAGATATCATTGGATTCGAGATGTGTTGGAGTCCAAGGCGTTGTTTCTTGAGAAGATCCATACGGATGACAACGGTGCCGATATGTTGACGAAGGCGTGAGTAGAGAGAAGCACGTGCTCAGACAGGAAGCGAGTTTGGTTTTACCCCCCAATTGAGGTGAAGGGGGAGATTGTTGGGCCCGGTATTCCCCTTAATTGGGTCAACAAGGAAACAAATAAAACCAAGCCAATTTTGGCTTTGGTTTTAGGAAACAAAACCTACTCCAATTGGGTTTTTGTTTTTAGGTTTTTTTGCTCTATAAAAGCAAGGCTTTGCCATAATTTTTAGGGGTGTATTTTTCAGCCAAGAGAGAAGAAAAATTTGGGCAGCCGTGCATTGTTTTGTACGAGAGAAAAAGAAAGAAAGCTAGGGTTTAGTTTTCGGTTTAGCTCTCTTTTGGTTAGATCCTTCCAGTCCTACTTTGTGATAGGTGTGTGTGGAAGAGTATTGTTGTAATCCACCTTTGGGTGAAGTCCTGTGTATCCACCCGTCGGTGAAGACTGTTTTCCCATTATTGTGATAGTGGAGATTTGACTGTTGTTACAGTCTCGTGGTTTTTCCCGATTTGGGTTTTCACGTAAATTTGTGTGCCTCCTTTATTTTATCAGTTCTTGAGTTAGTTGCTTGTTTGGGTGGTTGTCCTATTTTATTGGTAGTAAGAAAGGAGTTTTTCCTTGGGGCTCGCTTCTGCAGTGTGTTGTGCTTATACCCTTTCCGCCACAACAGGCTCTAAGCTTTTGTTGCTGCCACTAGTACATCTGCGAAATGCTCTTTATTTAGATTTTTAGCTCCTTCTTCAGTCTTCTCAGTTTGGAGCAAACCTGGAACATTTTGGTACCCTGTACTTGATGACTGCAGCTATCCTGTACTACTCTCAACAAAGATGGGGCTTGACTCCACATATTGAAGTATCGAAACAGCTTAGGTTTTTGAGGTGTTTCTGCAATCAGATCCAACACCAGGGGAGTATGATCAGAGATGCCATCCATCTGCACTTCTACTACTGAATCTAAGTTCTCCTCAATCCAATCACCATTTACTAGCACCCAGTCAAGCTTGCAGTAGATTCTATCTTTCCCCATACTTTGATTGCACCAAGTAAATACTTTCCCAAACTGTCTCAGTTCACTGATTCCACACTCCTCTATACAATACTGAAATTCCTCAAGGTCCTTTAATTCCACTGCTTTCCCTCCCAATTTTTCCTTAGGTTTCAAAATGGTATTAAAAGTCCCTCATTACCACCTAGGGACCCTTTGTTATATTAGCTAACGCAATCAAATCCTCCCACAACTTTGACCTTTCCCCAGCATCATTCTCTGCATAAACACCCGTAAAGGAGAATTCTCTATGATCTTGCCTCATTATGCACAAACAGTGAATAAACTGAGCTGACTGCTACGTTACTATTATATTGACACTATCATCCCGTAACACAATAATCCTTCCTCTTCCACTGCTTGTGTAATTGGTGCTCCAGTTCCAACCTCGCCAATTCTGTTCCAAGTACCTCTATCCTCTATCCTTATTCATCTTTGTTTCTACAATACAAACTATACTATACTTACTTGCACTTATTACCCTTTCTAACTCCTTTTGTTTGAGGGGGGAGTTCAAACCCCTCACATTCCATGTTAAGATTTAGGACATGAGGACTAGGTCCCGGATCAATCACCAACCCTGTTCTTGTTCCTGCATCTATACAACCTTTTCCATTTAGTTCCCCCACAGTTACTAACTCCGCAATCAACATCCTCTGATCAACATCTGGACTCCATGTAATGACAGGACTTGAAACTTCACCAGAGACAACCCTACCTCTACTAACCTCCTCACTTGCTTTATGAGGTTTTAAATGATGGTCCACCTTGTTTGCCCCCTTTTGAGATCCCTCTGATTGAGTATTCGCCGCAGAGGCAACCTTATCAGTGACCACCCCTTTCGCCACAGTCCCAACCTTATTATCTCCTCCTTTTACCACTTCCTTCCAAGCACTAACTGGTTGCTTATTTTTGTTCTCTACCCTCTTCTCTTTTCTCCTGCATTGAGTACTCTCATGCCCGTGATCAGAACAATGGCTACACTTTGTTGGTTTCCATTCATATATTATCTTCTGCACAACCACATTTTCCAACTCATCTTCAAACACCAGCTTATCAGGAACGGTCTCACTCAATTCCATTTCTACTAAAATCCTGGCGTACTGAGCTCTATTCTTACTGACAGTGAAATCATCAGCAAGGATGGGGGTACCAATGGTACTAACCAATCGACTTAGTGAATTTAAGTGCCAATACTTAATCTCCAGTCCATAAAGTCTAATCCAAACAGGGACACTGGTTATATCATTGTACTTCACCATTTTGCCAATTCCGCCGGATTATGTGCAGTATGAAGTCAATAGATTTCCTGTAACTTTTTCTTAATCAACGAAACGAGATAGTCAATTTTACAAATACTATCATCTTACAATCTTTCCAAGAACCACGTAAAAACAGTAATTATTAAATTCAAAGTTTAGATCACCTTTTCTGAAAAATGCTGTAAAAACGACTAACCATTATTAATCAAATAATTGTCATGGCTCATGCGGTTGTCATTACTAAATTAACTATTACCCTATCCGCAAATTGTATGTGTGCATACTTAATCATGTCAGTCAGTTGTTGGCAACGAAGCTGCTTTTTCTATTTTATTTTATCAGGTTTTTGATAAACAAGAATATGCAAACGACAAAAGTTGCTTTGGATTAAATTAAAAATTAAAGGAATTAAAGATTTTTAGTGATCCATTAGTTGTCCATTAGTCAGTTTGGTCGGAATTAATGGTAGAGTCGTTTACTTATTAATCCTTATTATTTACGCTAATCATTACAGAATTTGGGCGGAAAGCCGACACGTTTGACTCCTTTTTTTTATAATTACTTTTAATTATCCTCACTGGACATCAGTATAAGTAAGTAAACTCGGAATTTCTTTTGAAGATGTCTAAGAAGACAAATGGAATACCAATAAAATAACCTGTGACTGTGAGGGATGTATGCTGCATGGTGAAAGAGCTCGAGGTTTGATGACCCGCCGTCAGCGTCAGACCGTGGTTGAAACATGATATAATAGATGTTGCATATCTTAGAAATGTACTAAATTGAAACTATGCTTGTTGGCTCTCTTTCTGTAATTAAAAAAAAAAAGCCAGAAGTTTTTTCCTTTGTCCCTTTAATATTCAACTTTATTAAATTAAAACGATATAATAAGAAGGACGTACAATTAAATCGGACGGATGAGGATAACAATTAAGTAGTTGGAAATTTCATCAAGCGATTTCAAGGCATTTAAATCTTCAATGGGGGCGTGAGAGCATTGAAATTGCCAGTGTGATTACTTATTATGTCGACATACGTATACAAGCTTGATACAAAGCCACTAAACTATATATACACTGCAACGTGACTACAGATTACCCTAAATAATTAAGATTGAAAAAATAAAAATTAAAAGGGAGTGAATACTTGACCGTTTGATATTGAAGCAATTCTTGTGTGTATATGACCAAATTGAAGAACATTCACATTTGAAATCTTGGACAGTTGTATTTTCATATATATGCGACACAAGAAATTGTGTATTTCAAATTAGCAAGAAGGTTGGGGTGCATTATCGAATAAAATGATACCATTACTAAATCACGCATAATATAGTAAGATAACAAATGATCGATCGGTATATACTCGCCTGATGGCGAAACTCACACTATGGATTCACTATGCAAACTAGTACCTGCGATTTTCAGAACAATCTAACAATATCGATAAGAATCATCTGCTCAAATCTTCAACTAAATATGCATAGAACTAATTTCAAAACCTTTTCTTGATAATTATCTCCCACCATCTTGTTGCAACAATATTTCCTCTGTTAATGAATAGCAATATGAATATAACTCATTGGGAGAAGAATCATTTCTACACTCGAATCCCTTACTTTCCATAGAAATCAAGGCTTCATTTTCCATGGACTCAATCTTTAAAGCTTGAACCAGAAATCTCTGAGCCTCAATTCCCAATGCTTCAAGATCCCTTGCTACATCTTTCATATATGGTCTATCCGCTCCTTTTACACTTATGCACCTTTCTGCTATCTTAGCAACTTCCATTAGCTGGTCAATATTGTCATTGCAACATATGTTACTATCGAAAAGTTGAACCACATTACCCTCTTTCAAAGAAGAAAGGAAACGATTCGATAAAAAAATATCTGTTTCGGGTTTGTCTGATTCCATCACTCTCTTTCCTGTTAAAATTTCTATCAGGACAATCCCAAAACTGTAAACATCGCTCTTCTCAGTCAATCGGCCTCTTTGCATGTACTCGGGGTCTAAATAGCCGCAAGTACCTTGCACTATTGTAGACACTTGATGTCCATCTGCAGGGAGCAACCTTGATATCCCGAAATCGGCTACTTTTGCAGTGAAGTTTTGATCCAAAAGTATATTTGCAGATTTGATGTCTCTGTGGATAATTGGAGGAGAGGCGACCGAGTGCAAATATGAGAGCACTCCGGCCACTTCTGAGGCTATCCGCAAGCGAATGTTCCAAGAAAGTTTTGTTGCTTTGAATTTGTTGTGCAAATGCTCAGAAAGTGTTCCATTTTCAATGAATTCATACACAAGTAATGGAACTTCTGTCTCTAGGCAACAACCAAGAAGCTTGACAGCATTCCTATTGTTGATTTGGGAAAGAATAATTACCTCATTTATGAACAGCTCAACTTGATGTCGATCAACTCCTCTGGATTTCTTAATGGCCACTTTAGTCTTGTCCATCAATTCTCCTTTGAAAACTATCCCGAATCCACCTCGACCGATGATATTTCTTTCATCAAAGTGATTTGTTGCCTTTTGCAATTCTTCAACAGTAAAAAGTCTAGTACTATAAGTGTTTCCTTCTCCAGAGATTTTTTGCAGTAAAATTAGTCCACCATTTTTTCTGAAAAACTCCTCCTTCATTCTATTTGCTTTTCTTCTCATCATTTCAAAATACAAACAAATGGACAAAGCCATAAGAATTGAACACCCAACGCTGACACCAACGACTGTATCCATGCAAAAATCATAAAATGTCAGCAAAAGACTTAAGAAGCGAATTGTCAAAATCTCAAAGGCATGCCAAAGAAATCAAAGACTAACCTGGCTGCCAAAATTTTTTCTTATCCGACTGTTCAACAAGACTGCATCCCACTCCATTTTTTCTTCCATCCCCATGGAATCCTTGATTACACATGCAGGTATAACCCCCCAAAGTGTTATTGCAGATACTATTATCTGCACAATTATGAAGAGTTGGATCCGCACATTCATTGATATCTGCAGAGTTTGAGATCATTAATTATAACAGAAAAATCTTCTCTGAATCTTAAAGAATAAGGAAGATCAGTTAAATCGCTAATCAAATTGGAAATATATTATCAATCTGCATGTCACTTATTGTTTACTCCATCTGCCTCAAAAAAATAATCGAATTTCTTAAACTAAAACAGTATAACAAAGTGGACTATTTATCAGGGACAAATGAACTACCATTTTTCTCCGTTTTAATGAAACAAAGGACATCATTTTTCTAATGGGATACGATTAGTGCCCCTCTCGTCCGGCCATCCCCAAAATAATTGTCTTGTTTGTATTTTCATTTCTAGCTAGCACATTATCATGTCATTACGTACCTTGGCAACCACCAGGAAGATAAGGGTTTCCCTGGAAACCATCCTTGCACTTGCAACGATAACCTAAATCCCCGGCCGGATCATAACACTGGCTGTGTTCCGATTTGCAAGCAAAAGAGGTAACATTCTTTATAGCCACTTCACATTTCTTATACTCAACAACCCAATCTACCACAACAGGGAACCTTGAGCTCTTGTCTACATTGGTAAGATTATCGGCGAAAAAATCGAAGCCCTGATCTTCAACCACAAATCCATAGCTGCAAGGATTGAAACCCGACACATAACTGTGGTTGTAAAAGCTATCCACAGAGACATTGATCTGCCAAGCTCCATTCGGTATCGATGCCTGGCAACACCCGATACCCGAACAGGCCCCATCGTAAACATTCTTCTTGTAATCACAAGAGGACATACATCCTGTCGCGTAATTACGATCTTCACTAACACCCCTGATGACGGCATAAGTATCGCATCCGATCGCCGTGAACTTGTTGTCCGTACTACTGAAAACAAACGGCTGGGATAAGGACATGGATGGAGGGAAGAAATCAGAAGAAGTGTTGTTGGTTTTGGGATCATAGCAATCGTATCCCACGTCGTAAAACACCCGAAACTGACCATCCAGAGAAATATCTATCACGGAAATGTTACTGTTCCATAAGAAGAGCTCGGAAGTGTTTGTGGAAGATTCTCGGCATTCCAGAAAGAATGCATTGTTCAGGTAACAATTTTCTTTAGTACCAAATGGAAATGGAATGGTGATATTGCCACAATAAGCTTGGTTTTCGCAGCTGGGCTTTGCTATTGGCAATGTTGATGAAGAAGAAATGACAGAAGATATCATCATCAAGAAAATCACCAGGAAGATTATTGCTGATAGTTTGATGGGATTCTGATTCAAATCCATGGTGATTTAATTAGAAGGCTTTTTCTTTATTGGTTTTGTGCATGAAACTTTTTTGGGATTTCTGTTTTCCTATAGTTTTTATAGGCTAAATTAAGTCATCATACGACAAAGACTCGTCAAAGTTGGCCTGCCTTTTTGCGTACAATATTATGAGTCAAAATTCATTTGGACGTAAGTGGATATGGGACCTGCAGAACTTGGAAGCATTAACTAAGTAAATGCCCAGCCAAATGAAATAGAAAAAAAAAATAATTAACGCTTAAAAGAGCGATCATATAAAATTACAGTATTCTAACAACCAACATGGTGTATGGATTATCAAATCATACACGAGGATCATGTTACCAAAAAGGTTAATTTTTATAGACAGTGCTTAAAAAAAAATGTCAACTGCTTAATCAATTATGAATAAGAAAGAAGATGGCCTCATCCAGGGAATCAACGAGTGGTTGGAAAGGGAATGGACGGTGGGCATAAATTAAACACTGCTTTGATAAAAAAAAAAAAAAAAAAAAAGACACTGCTTTAGAGAAACAAATTTTGTGATGAACTAATGTTTTCCTACTTGGTGATCGGAGGTACTAATATGTATCTGATTTTCTTCCTAAAGAAATGTTATGATTATAACATAATTTAATTAGCGTGATGATCACATTAAACTCTGCCTTTTTTTTTTCTTTTTTTTTTTTCCTGATACACGACAATCATGAGCGATGCATTTTAAGAAGAAAATAAGAATTTGAATAACATAAAGAAAATAAAGAGAGAAATATCTAAAGGCTACATTGTGATTGATTGACTGGATACAATATTCATATGAGTAGCTCGTTATGTATAGGAGAGCTTTTTACAACAACCTTACAAGATAAGGCTAAACTATTTTAAGTAACTATTGGAAGCAATCAATTCACGGGATTACAAGATACTCTAGGAATTCTTGATAGCCAAACATATCTCATCATTGATGAGTGTGATCAGCCTTGTTTTGGAAATGACATGATCTCGATCTTGACAGATTCTGTTAACATTTTACACAAACTAAACAAACAAATAAAAAAAAGATGCAAATTGAGCGAGTAATTCAAGCAAAGCATCGTGGACCCGCAAAACTGATTGATTACTATAGAAGTCCATGGAGTTCCACATCAAAGCCAATTGGGAATGAGGATAGTAAGCCATAGTATTTATATATTGATACTCAGAGTCTCCCAACACCAATGTGGGATTGTGTCACGACCTGAGGGTTAATTTGACATTTAAGCATAGTTCAGGATTAGATTTATGAATTAGTTGTATTTTACCATTTTAGGCAAATGGCTATAAAAGCCTTGTAATCGTTTTACAGAAAATCATCGAATATGAAATATAGTTTTCTCCTTCTCTCTGAATTCCCATCTTCCCTTGATTGCTGCTTCTACTTTTCCCTCTTTTCTGATTCCGACGCCGGATCTCAACTTCCGGCTAATTCTATTTTGACCCCGGTTCCTGACAAGTGGTATCAGAGCAGTTGATTCTCGGCTGTTTCTATCCATTTCAGTCTTCCACTTCCTCTGTTCTTTATTCCTGAATCTTCTCCGACTCGCCAACTGAATCATGGATCAGCTTTACAAAACCCTAGTTTGTGATTTGTTAAAACACCACTCTTCACGAATTGTTCCTCCAGATCCAACATTGTTCGGCCTTCCTAAACCATCAGCAACTGGAATCCCTCTTTTTTCCAGAGATTATCTCAGTTTTTGGTTATCACGAATTGAACAGTTCTTCGTCTCTAATTCTATACCACCTGAAAGAAAGTTATTTACAGCTCCCTTTTACTTAGCGGTGAATCTCTTCAATTTTATTGCTGATTGACCGCTACATTGTAACTATCTAGTAGGGATGAATCTTTCATTGTTTTATGGCATAGTTCACAAGTTGTGTCCAAAAGGGATTATGATTACCTAAGTTTTAGGACTCTATCTCTTTTATTTATCAAGCTGGCCAAAATTTCTTCTTCTTTATCCCATTTGGTCGACTGAGATTTTATCAAATAGGGGGGAATATTCTTGATAAAATTTAGGTCCTATATTGTAGGAGTTTTCTTGCACAAAAAGACTTGCATTACCTATAAATAGGGGTGCTGTTTTTTGAAAATTCTCACACCACTCTACTCCATTCTTCTTCATCTTCTTGTGGCCGAGATCACTAGGGTCAAAAAAGGGGAGCAGTCTTCACTTTAATATGATTTTTGAGAGTTTTAAGTGCTCTTAAAAGCACAAGAGAGTTTGTTTTTGGGGAGAGTATCATTTGAACCTTCCTTTGGTTCTTTGGGGGAGGGAGTTGATCGAACCATTTACTTGGTTCATGCATGCAAGGAGTTATTTGTGTAGTTCCAAAAGCACAATTACTTCTTTTGGTGGTTTTTCAAGCTTTGTTAAGCAAAGATGAGTTCTGGAATTGTTGGATGTAACAAGGTTGCTTCCAAGAGTGAAGATGGTCGCGTGGAGTCCCAAATTCAGCAAAACATGACAAGTCAGTTGGAGTACTTGAATGATGCGCTGAAAGAGGTGAAGGAGGCCAACCGGGAATTGTCCTATTCGCTTTCCAAATAGCAAGAGAAGATTGCGAGCAATCTCAATCTTATAGCTGAAGGTATGAAAGTTTTATGTGACTGATTTGAAGTGAAACAAGTGCCCTCATATGCTGGTATGTTAAAAGTGTCATTGCCTTTGTTTTATGTTGCCATAGAGACTATGATACTTGGGAAAAGAGGATTAAGAATTTGTTTGTATTGCTTAACATTGAGAAAGAGAGTGAGAAAATAGCCTTAGCTGTAGGTTGTTTTCGTTCTAGTGCTTTGAATTGGTGGAAACTAGTATTAAATATCTATTCGCATCATTGGTATCGTAGTTGTGATGATTGGCATGAATTGAGAAATGCTTTGCGAGAAAGATATGTTGGTTCTAACACCTTTGCAGAGGCGAAAGTGAAGTTGCTCGAGTGTAAGTAGAATGGCAGATCCATTCAATCTTACTATGAGGAACTAGGAGGCGTGTTCCTGAGCTCCAATGTGGATGAAAACGATTATATGTTGACATATCGTTTCTTCTATGGGTTGGATAAGGAGTATAAACAGAACCCGAAGATAAGACAACAATCAAGGCTCTATGAGGCATATTTCGCTGCCTTGGAGGTGGAGAAAGAGCATGATGCTTCTTGTGGTTGGAATGGTTCCGTTGGGGACCAAGGGTTGGTGTTTGGCGCTGATGGTGGTGATCAAAGGACATGTATCTTCCGTACCAAGTGTTTGGTTGGGTGGTCCGATGACGTTGATCTAGTAATCAACGGTAGGTCGAGTACTAATTGTGTTAGTGAAGAGTTTTGCATGGCACATGGAATCAAAATGGATCCGCATACTAATCCATATACGCTACAATGGGTGAGCGAGGACATGGTGGTGGATGTCACTAAAAAGGTTGTGGTTACCTTTCAAATTGGTGAGTATAGGGACGAACTTTACTTTAATGTATTTCTATGACGTTGTGTGATATTTTGCTAGGTAGGCCTTGGCAGACAGACTTAGATGCTATGCATTATGGATCAAAGAATGTCTTTGTCTTTTCTAAGGATGACATTAGACACATTCTTAAGCCTTTGGCTTATGAGGATGCTAAAATGTGCGAGAGAAAAGACGTAAGATATCCTATACACAAAGGAGAGAAAAAGTCAAGAGAGTGACGCAAGAAAGTGAAACC